TTCCATTTTAACATCTGCAATTAAATGGCACTTCTGCATATGTGCATAGGGACCATGTTTAAAAATAGAAAGGGGCCAGAGAGGGACATGACATTCTCACATGTGAAGCTGCGCCCAGTTCCCCAAATGCCTATGACAGCAGTGGGCATGGCCCCCCACCCCACAATTGGTTGAAACAAAGAAAAAGGTGCTGCAACTTTAGTGTGTGCTATGACCAATTTTGCACTTCTTTACCTTGGCTCAACAATCTCAGACACTCTCTCCCTAGATGTCGAGCTGGATAAACGCATTGAGAAAGCAGCTACCATGTTCTCTAGACTCACAAAGAGAGTATGGCTGAATAAGAAGCTGACGGCATAAACCAAAATCCAGGTCTATAGAGCCTGTGTCCTGAGCACACTCCTGTACTGCAGTGAGTCCTGGACCCTTTGTGCACGGCAGGAAAGGAAGCTGAACACCTTCCATATGCGTTGCCTCTGACACATTTTTGATATCACCTGGCAGGTCAAAGTTCCAAATAGAGTAGTCCTAGATTGAGCTGGAATTTCCAGCATGTATACATTACTGAAGCAGCGACGTCTACGTTGGCTTGGGCATGTCCTGAGAATGGCTGATGGTCAGATTCCAAAAGACCTCTTTTATGGAGAATTAGTGCAGGGAAATCACCCCAGAGGGAGGCCCCAGCTGCGATACAAGGACATCTGCAAGCGTGATCAGAAGGCCTCAGGAATAGACCTCCACAGATGGGAAACCTTGACATCTGAGCATTCTGCCTGGAGGCAGGCGATGCATCATGGCCTCTCCCAATTTGAAGAGACCCTTATCCAGCAGGCGGAGCCAAAGAGGCAGTCCCGGAAGCAGCAAAATTAGGGAGCTGGACAGGGGACAGATTGTATTTGTCTTTAGTGTGGAAGGGATTGCCACTCTCGAATTGGCCTTTTCAGCCACACTAGACGCTGTTCCAAGTCCTCTATTCAGAGTATGTTACCACAATCTCTCGAGACTGAAGGATGCCTAATAATAATAAATAAAGACCCACCATAAAAAAATTTCTTCTGGACTATTATAAATGTGTAGTTCCAGTCTCTGTGGAACGTATACGTTTATTTCCCTTGATTCATGACACCAATGCACACGTAACCTGTCTTATTAGGCCATGGAAACGCAGAACAGTTGAAAAAATGAATGTTATCTTCCTTCTTAACCCATCAGTACAGAATCTACAGGAAAATTATGGCCCTACAGCTTACCTCTGCTAATCATAGGGATAATGTCTTTCTTAGAGATGTTGCCCAGATCATAACATTAGATGAAGAATAGGTTTAATGATCTGAGAGGGACTGCGCCACAACGAGGGCTCTAATCACCTACAGCCTCTAGGTAAAACTCATAATTTGGCTTGAGTTTGACTGTCTTAACTTTCTGCATCACCAGAATGTAATCTCCGTCATATGCTATAGAGATATTTTCTCTGTGCTGCTGTTCTGTGCCACCACAGCAGTAAGGGAGTATTGAAAAAGACAACGAGCAATTCCTTGCCTTCCAACCAGCACTCCAGTTGGTGGAAACACAGAAAAAAAATATTACAACACAGCAAACTGATATTGGCAATACTTCTTAACTTCACTGATGTCACAATATCTGTTTTAAAGGTGTACAAACACACAAAGTCAAGGCACAAAGCCATGTATTTGGACTTCTTCTTTTTTTTGTACAACTACCAATTTTTCAGCCATTTAGCCCATAGGTTCTTAGCCTATGGTCTGTGGAACCCCAGGGTCCTCACAGGGAGTGTACGAAGAAGGCCTGAAGAAATGTTTTGATCTTTCGCAGTTAAAATAGAAAGAAGGAATGGATGAATGAAATCAAGAAAGAAAAAAGAAACGTAGAACAAAATCTTAAATTTCCCTTGCTTGTTTGTATAAAACCTGGCTTTTCTGGCCTACCACCTCCATGAAAAACAAACAAAAAAAGTAAGTATTGTTTATAAAAATAACTATTTGATAGCAAATAACTTTGATATTTTTGCACACTGTGAGAACATGCAAGTGAATGATGTTCAGTGGCTGAGGGACAGAAAGTGACATTTCTTGCTACTACACAGTCAGAAGCTGTGGGAAGAGAGAGTTGGAGTCAGTCAGTGTGAGTGTTCACATGGACTTTGTGATCAATGTACTTGAGCTAAAGATTGTTCTCTGCTCCCTTTATCTTAAAAATAAGCACAGAAATTATTTGAAAA